TCCGGTATTCAATCCTAGTAAGCTTCGAAGAGCGTTATTATTAGAACCATTACGCGGACAGCATCTAGACCCACTACCGCCAATCAGGATCTCTAAGGAAGATAAATAGGAAGTGGACAAGGTCATCGATTCACGCCTTCATTACCGGAAGTTGCAGTATCGAGTTCAATAGCTCGGCCATAATCTCGACCTACAGTGGTATCCTATAGGAAATTTCAAGCATACACCTCAGAAGATTCAGCACTTCTATGACGATTACCCTCTGAAGCCCGGACCCCCGATGCGCCTACAAGCCTGGTTGGATGCGGCCAAGGACGAAGTCTTCCTTGAAGATCATGGGGATGACGATAAGCCGGCATTTAGGGGCTAAATGCATTCTTGGTCGGGGGTTATATGACGATCTGCAGAGTTTTCTGCTGACTGACTCCGCCTTTGGACGAGTCAGTTGGTTCTGCCGTGTGTTTCCGCCTTGCAGAGATTTCTGCTGATTGTTTCCGCCTTCGACCCAGGACCCACCCCACAATGTCTTTTGGTCCTGTTGATAGATTCTTTTCTTCTCTTTTCTTTTTCCTCCCTGTACTTAATGTTCTAGTTAAATGCACTCTTTTTGTTAAAGAACTGGCTGGTAACATTATCTACTATATATTATAAGAACTAAATAAATTCTATATAGATTTTTAGTATCTTAGATTTAGTAATATAAGATTCTTATACTATTATTATATTATTATTAAAAATCTTAATTTCTTTATTTATTTTTATAATATTATTTTTAAAATAGTATAAATATTAGCTAAAGTAGTTATTTAAATATATTTATTATATCTTATACTCTTAGAGTATTTTTCTAAAGTATTTTATAATATTTATTAAATATAGAGGATATTTTATATTTAATATATAGTATACTAGGAAGACTTTAAAGCTTATTTTATTATTTTCTTTTTTATTATTATTAAGATTTATATCTACTAATAATATTATTTTTATTAAAGAAATATTTAGCTTAATTTTTATATTTAATTTCGCTATATATTTCTCTATCTATATTTATATCTCTAAATACTCTTTAAGTTCTATAAGCTATTATATATAGGCCTTTACTATCTTTAAACCTTTAGTTTCTTTATTATCTTTAACGGTTATAATAGAAATTAGTTCTTCTATAAGGGGTCTAGTTAGATTTATAGAACTTAATTATTCTTCTTTATATTTACTTTTAAAGGTACCGAGGTCTATATTAAAGTTATCTTTTATAGTTACTTCTAGCGTCTTCTTACTTTATTCTATAATTACGCGGGTTTAGCGTATAAGCACTATATTTTACTAATAGCGGTCCGATTAAAAATAAGATAGTTTAGAATATAAAGACCTACTATAAAGGGTCTTATAAAGGGTATAATTAGAGTACTAAGGGTATATATAATACGAATTACTACTATAAAGCAATTATAACTAGTACTATATATATATTTAAACTAAACTATAAACCTTTATCTATAGTTCTAAATCTACTAGTTATATAATATACGTAGCCTAAGCGAGATTATATATATTGGACCTATATATCTTATAGGCTATTGATATATCTACGTAGGTCCCGAAGACCTCCGAAGGTCCACCTTAAAGATATTATCTTAGGTCTAGGCGGGTTCTGTACCTTACTTTGTATGGTGTAGGACGTGACAGATTAATCTAATAAATAATTATATTAAGATATTAAGCGAAGTACTAGTTATTTTTATTAGTTATAAAAAGATAGCTAATAAAATATTACTAGATATAATATATTAGTATTTATATATATATTAAGAAAGATATATATATACCCTACCGCTTATTTAAATATATAGCTTTATATAGCGATATATACGTTTATTATAAGAATACTTATATAGCCCTTCTTTATTCGTAGTCTATACCTATATAAAACTAAAGTAATACCTATATATAGTATAAGTTTAGTATATACTAGATATAAGTATAATTAAATTAGAACTTATACTTTTATTTACTTATAGATCTCTATATTAATATTATAAGTATAAGACGGTATTATAGTTTCCTTAGTATAGAGTTTATAGAATAGTATTAGCTTTATCTAGTTATATCTTAGCGATAGTTAGATAAGATTAGGACGAATATATCGATAATATTATATCCTAGAATATATATAAATACGATAATATACTTTTAATTTTTAGTTCTTTAGAGATTTTTAGAAGAATTTTAAATTACTCTTCTTAGTAAAGTACTTTAAAGAATAAAATAAGAATTAATACTAGATATAATATATTAGTATTAAGTTTTATATATACTAAGTATATAGTAAGTATATAAGAGATATACCGCCGATATAAGTCTTATAAATATCTTATTTAGACTTTTCTTATTAATAAGCTAGTATTAAAGAGGATTCTTCTCTATATAAATAATATATAAGATACTATCTTTATTAGTATCTAAATAGTCTAAAAGAATAATATACTCTTAGATTTTACGAGTAATTATCTTCCCTATACTAATACTAATACCTTCTAGATAGATATATATTATAATAATACTAGTAGAAGGATTACTATTTCTAAAGCTTTAGTCGTCGAGGATTCTATTAGAATATTTATCGGAATCTTAAGAGTCTTTATCGGAGTATTCGTAGGTAGCTTCGTCTATAGGATGTAGAAAATAAGGCTAAGTAAATATAATAATTAGTATATATTTATTATATATTTTTATATATTAAATATATACTTAATATATACTTAATATATATAAAATATAACTTACCTATAGAATATTAAATAAGAGATAATTAAGCCTATCTAGAGTAGAAGGACGTATAATACCGCGAACCGTTCCTCTTAGAGGTAGTAGAAATATAGAAAATAAAAGAATATTATAAAAATAACTCTAATTAGGTAGTATTAGATCTATAGTAGAGGGTATATAGGGTATATAAGGTTTATAGGGGTAAATAAAAGTCAGATAAAAAAATAAAAATTAGAGAAAAAAGATTATAGTTATATAATCAAATGAATTTGGGTATCCCTAAGGTCCGCGACCTAGGACGTACTCAATATTAGACGATGATATAAGCAGGCTTGGCGGGTATCCCAGAGTTTTTTTTCGAGTACCCCCGGGCTGGTAGCCCATATATTCCCCCTAGATTTGGTTTGATGATATGGCCCACATTTAGTTAAGTCGTGAAATCTAGGGCGGAGGCTTATATAGCTAATAGCATTAATTATAATCCCAACAAAGACCACGCATTAGCCATTGGTTGTCAGTAGATAAAATGGACAGCGTGGAAGGACACGTAAGAGTACAAGTTGTTACGCTCTCGATCACTTTTAATCCCTGCTTTCTAGCTACTCGAGTCCTAAACTTGAAATTTCCTCTGCCACTTCTTGGTCTTCCCTTTCCGTCTTAGTACTCAGCCCTTGCGGCTTTTTGCCCACTGAGGATCCAAGTGCGGAGAGATTTTAGTGATTGAACCATCGTTCCAGCGAAGGCAGCCGTCAAAGCGGCAGATTACCCACATGTAAATCGAATCCGAGCACTTTAAATATGTATATATAATTATTATGAGATCTGGATGAAGTTAAAGGAAATGTATCTGGGAAATAAGGTCTCTCAAGCTGGTTGATATACAAGTAGAGTAGGCTTCCATCTCTTTAAGACTCTCTTATGTTCTGTTGTATATATTTACTTTACTGAATGCTGCCCTCTTTTATTTTGCAACCAAATTTGAGAATTTCCGTGTCCCACATTTTCTTAGTCAATCATGAACTGAGTTTGCTTTAGCCATTTCAGAACCCCATCGAATCAGCCATAGCTTTAGTATGTTGTATAGAACCGATTATTATAAACATTTGGATACAGTCAGATTTCTGTCATATTCAACAACAATATAACCGAAGAATTGATGTGAAGCTAGGAGAAGAGAGAGAGAGAGCAATTGTATTTGTTGCTACTGCTTAGAGAGAAGGGGAAAAGAAGAAGAGGGAGAGGAGACTGCAGTCCTGTCTCATAGGGCCATGTCACATGTGCACCCTGCCACACAGGGTCAGGTGACACCACCATAACAAGAATGGATGAAGGTGCTACTAGTGATCAGCTACAAGTCGGTGAATATGCCCATTGAATGTGTCTGATACCTGAGGTTGATCTTTTCCATATCACCAGGGAAGTCTTTGTAGCACACAAAAAAGGGGTGTGAGGAATTCCAGCACTGTCTGGCTCGAGGGTAGTAACGGACACCCGCCGGGTACCTGGGTATTCCCTGTTCGGTTTGCTTAAATGGAAATCTGCAAGTGGTTTGGTCCACCTTACGAACATCTACCCCACCCCCACCGTAATGTGGCTCCGCCAAGCACATGCTAAGTTCTGCTAGCGCATTGTATTGCATATACCATCTACACCAATTTGCAAGTCGTTTAGTAGGGAAAGTACAGTATTCAGATGGAATAAAACGTCAAAGTTACTAGCTCAGAAAGATCGGCAGGATCGACATTGATATACTTCTTACGGGGTGGAGATAGTACCAACTTTCAGATTAACCTTGGAAGCAAAGTTATATCACTACCTACCTATGTAGGTAGTTGACAGCCTATAGAAATACAACATATGCATTAACAACAGCAAGTGGAACAGCCTGTGTGAAGGTGAACGAACCTTACGTATATTCAGCTCAGCCATCAAAAGACCAGATGATCTCCGCAACTTCTATCCCGTGTTAGAAGCTACGACGCAGTTATGCGGGTCTGACCGAGATTTCAAAATCAGATGAGTAACTAAATTAGTGCATAGATGCGGTATTGGACCCATGTGGCTGGCTGAATGATCGATCCACACTTGCGGATCGAAGTTCATTGAACTCGATCTACAAGATCCGCGTTCCGACCGCTTCTTAGCGACAAAAGCCGAGTCGAACATTCCTTATAGATACATCCTGTACGTCTATTGTCTCCAGTCACCTCATCATCATCATCATCACCATCATGGTTGTCGAACTTGACACAACTCTCGCGGAATTGTACGCCAACCATGGCCTTCCAGGGCCAATTGTGGTGGACCTCTATCGAATTTACACCCACATTGATCTTCATGACAACTTCCCTCGGGAAAGTGTATTTGTCGAGGATGAGGATCCCTCTACATACTGTTCCGAAGAAGAAGACCTTCCTCGTTTCAAACGATGGGCCTTGAATTCCAGAACAATCCGACACTTACCCATGGTGGGGCCCGCCGACGTGATTCTCTATCTTCCTTACAATTCAAGGGATGATATCAACCGGGCATTGGACTAATTTGCAAAGCACCAGCGTCCGACGGTCCAATATGTCGATTTAGATAGTCCAAGTATAGCAAAGGACCGGAAAATAGCGATAAAAGACAAAAAATTGGTTTATTAGCGCCCTAAATCTTAGATAGTAGACGAGGACTGCTCAGTATCACCCGAGCTCTCATATACGTTAAACGATAAGCGATTCCTCATTCACGCAGAGCTCCCCACACCATTACTAGAGATAATTTCATTACTGCACGAAGATCAGCGAGACACCTTAGTCAATCGTCCACTGCCTTTTGTGGTTAAATTCTGCCGGTGCAGCTCGGGCCAAGGCACATATATCGCGACTACCGAGGAAGAAAGGCTGCAAATGCTCGAAGGCGTCTGCAGATATCGTGAGAGGGGAGGTGAAGATATCCAGGTATCTGAGTTCGTTGATTCCAAAAAACCACACTACGGGGTGAACTTCTTCGTTGGTCGCGACGAAAGTGTGCAACCATGTTTCCTGGGTGCCACGGAGCAAATTGTCACCAAGAATGGCGTCTGGGTTGGTGGGATCATCGATTACCAGGAACAAGGGGAGCTCGAGAGACGTCTACGGAACACGATTGCTGCTGTGGCACGCACATTGCAACAGCACTCATACGTAGGCTGGGTTGGCATCGATGTTATCTTTGACAGTAATGACCGGCCTTTGGTGGTGGATCTGAATGCTCGTATAGCCGCCGGAATTGGGATTGTCCTTTTTTCGAAGCACTTTATGTCCATGGGACTTCCGTTTGCTCGGATGAAAACGGTATCATTTCCTGGCCCAGCTTCAGGAATCTACACTGCGCTATCTGCGAGTATTGAGTCTGGACAGGTGATTGTCACTCTCTCAGCGGAAGTCACAGATACCGAGTCTGTTGCCTCGGTAGTCTTTGGTGGTCGTACTCGAGATGATTTGAATGCAGTGGCAGATTGGATTGAGGACGTGCTGCGAACTTGCCTTCACTAAAAGTGTGGATGTTAGTGATGTGGAAATAACAGATTTGTTGGAAGGTACATCCGGTGACCTCCACTGTTGGTCTCTTAGCAGTTGTAGATAGCTCTCTTCCTCTCCTTGCGTAGCACAGAGATTTCCAGTATACTGCTATTTCATTTGTAGTCCCACTGTTCATCTCTATTAGGTTATAGGTCCTTCGCCGTTAAGCCTGTGCATTATTGTATGCATCACGCCCCATTATTCCTTCGATTCCGTTGTTGTATGCTTTGCGTTGCATAAAACCCCACTATAGAACTCTGATCCCATAAATCAGAGTTTTCACCAGTCAACAACTCCACCTAGTGCTTCGTACCTTTGGAGTACACACAGAAGGCACGTTCTATCGGCTGTTCGATCCTATCGTCTGCCGTCCTAATAGCTATTCTTCCGTTGATAGCAGTCACTATATTGTCAATCTATCTACTACCGTCGTATTTGAAGAATACACCGTCTTGTTCGCGAAAAATCAGCTTTGCGTGCTATTTTATAGTTGATTATGTAGCTACGATAAATTGGCATGTTTGTATTGTTTGATTCATAATTGGGGGCCCATTATGGGCCCCCATTAGCCCTATAGGCTTTCATTCCGGGCATATGGCCCACCGATGGGCCTGAAGCATGGGCCCTAAAACCCACCTGGGCAGCTCATTTGGTGGATTGGGTTGGGTTGGGCTGTGGGTCTAATCATCCTCAATCCATAGACAAAGTTGAGTGTCATCAAGACAATGAAAGAGTAGTTTGTTAAGCCCTTATAAAATCCATCCGTATACATTCTCACAATTTCAAAACTTTACTATGTTACTATATCACATCTAGGGAGCTGATGATCGAAATAAATAGTGACTTCCTTTTGTTGAGAAAACTAGTAACTATTTATATATCAAAAAAACACAGTACTTACCTCACACTTGGTCTCAATTTCCAAACCGGAAGAATGTATCTACCACATCATCTTTCGAGTCGCTTTGAGATACTCCCTCCCTAGCTTCATGATGGTCCATCTGTGCATCTACAGAGCACGGAGGTGCTGGCGACGAAATATCCAGCACTACGTCAAATATATCAGGCACAGCGGACTGACGTTCAGTCACAAACCGTAAAAGTCCCCATACAGTATCCGAAGACATACTAGTTACCTGAGGGACAAGATAGGACGGACGAGCCTCCGGACAAACCGTGAATGTTTCTGCAGGGCCACTCTCGGGGTGGTGGATGACTACAGCCTTTATGATCGGGGGTGTCGGGATAGGTACACCGAACCTATAAGGCCCATCAATCTCCTGGACTCTAGCCTGGATCTCATCCCAAGTCTTCCGATAGTGGGTTTCGAAGGTATTCGTCCACTCCTCGTCTGAACGATAGCCGGCGAGACCGGCGCATAAAGACCATAGGAAATAGTTAGTGTTGACCCATGTAGAGATACGTACTGCCCATGATCTAGACGGAAGATTGTGTCTCTGGCGAACGTCGCAGCGGATTGCGGGTTGCTCGGTGGCTTCCACGACGGAAATGGGGACTCCGTAGAGTGGGTGGACTGCCTGCCAGTTGTAGTCAGCTGACATGATTCTTGAAAGGACTCTTTGTATCAATGGGGGGAAAGGTAGACGTGTAAGTTGTACTTGACCACTAGATTAAGGGGATGATCGAGAAACCGAAAAGAGTTCGAGCCAAAAGAGTAGGATAGTAGAGGAGTGGTGGAGAACCTGATGCATATCCGCTCCTCGAAGGAACGGGGGTTTTATATAGTTTTTGGAGATTTAGGTACCAATACTGGACAACGGAGGTTGTATTCGGCGACAAAGAACTCATGGGAAGGGGCCTTTGTCTTCATCCAAGGGTAGAAACCTCTACGACAATGTACATTGTTGATGAATCTTTGTCCCCTTGTTAGTAGCCCTTGTTAGTAGGTGTGGCTCAGATTCTAAAATATATAAATCAGTCAAAATAACAAGGGTCCTTTGTATAATTTTTGTTCTTAACTTGGATCTGAGGACTGGATAGCTTCTTTGTTCTTTTTCGGGCGCGGAGTGATACTCTTTTCCAGAATTATCGCGGTGCGCTGGTGGCTCAGGATGAAGAAAGAAAGATTCATACCCCTGGACAACGATCGAAGAAGGCATTTCAAGGGGCAGTGAAAAATTGAGCTGTGTGTATATTTCTCTCATTCGATGTAGTCCTTGCTACGGTAGCCAGAGAGTTGATGTGTGACTACTATAAGTTAGATGAAATTGTGTGACACACTCGAGAGCAATACCTAGGTAGTTATGGACGTACGTTCTTAGTCAAATCGACAGGGCTGAATCTAGTTCAGACGAATTCATGGAAAATCGCCACCAAGAGACATGACTAGTTTAGTATGTCCTAAAAGTTCTATTTTTAACGAAAATAACATTGCATTTCGGTTAGACCCGACTTGGCGACAATTCGAAACCGGCGACACTCATTGGTTCCTGTAGATAGAGGAGACCCCATGGGGCATAAGGGGATGGGGGTTATGGCCCGACATCGTATACCACACCGGAAGAGCCGGAAGCTGGGATCGGGACTGAGAAAAGCCACCAGGTTATGAGTCTCTAAGTGTCCAAGTGCATAGAATCCCCAGATTTCATCCCCGGAATCAACTCACCGAACAACTGGAACTGGCCAAGTCAGAACCCCATGGGAAAGCCCCCAGAAGCCCCCGGAAGACCACGCGTCCGCTCGGTTCCCCGATGCTTTTGGCCAATCCCGAGCCAAGACAATGCCGAAACAGAGAGTCCACTAGCCTGGAATAGGGCGTATTTTAATTTATCGTTTTCTTTTGAAATCCGAGGCTAAAAAGTCGAAAGTCAGCCATTTTGTTGGAATTGTCGTTGTAGTATTGTTAGGACCCAACCTTCAACCCGATTCGAACTTATACCAAACCCGAGGATTTACCGGCCCCTGTGCTCCCTTTTTTCTCTCTGTTATTCTCAATTTGCTTCTCACTTGTCCACCCTGGCCCTCGAAACGTAATAGTTTGATGAAATGATTTCAATCTCCAAAGGAGGAGGTGAGTGGAATGTAACCACATTGTTGATGCTTGCTAAGCAGCAAATATTCTATATTCTACTGCCAGTACTTAGAATGTGGCTTGTACACCCTGATTAATTTCAATACCTGGCATCGGCCAATTGTCGGATTTGCGGGGGTCATGTAGTATCTAACTACACCCAAATTGTCAGTGCAGTAAGCACTAAATATCCCATGCGGTTGGATGACACGAATATACTGAAAGGACTCAAGCTGACACTTGGTTAACGAATCATAGCCAAGTTCAGCCAAGCCATCGCGCTCTCAGACCTGGAGGCTTGTTCTCTGAGAACTTTGGTCCAAAGGTACCCAGCCAATCCCGAGCCTGCTGGTGTGATGCTTCTTTTGGCTTGTGGCGTACCTTGGCGTCCGACAATTTTATATGCGTTCTCGTATGTCCGGATAATGGCATCTCCGAATGTCGCTCTAGCATTCAAATTTGGCCCTAGCGTGCTATTGGCCCCTTAAACCGGCACATGCCATCGAATGACCGAGAGTCCCCATGGTGGGGTGTTTGGTTCTCGCTGTGCGTTTTATCTTTAGTTCCGGGGAAAATGCCACTCGTGAGGTCTAACCCCAGAATGAGGAGGAAATGAAGGACAAAGAATTCGACGCTGGAAATGCGGCCTGCACTATATAAATCTCCCTAGTTAGCCCGCTTTTCTCCTTTGGTTAGATTCCATTTTTCCAATTTTACCTCGTGCCCCAGCTTCGTCTTCACGATGGCAGTCAGTCAGTCTGTGGTTGGTCGTGCCAACGCAGACAAACCTCATGGTCTCAAAGGTTTTATTTCCAACCCATATGTCTTCTTCACTTGTTTGTTTGCGTCGTTGGGTTGTATCATGTATGGATACGACCAGGGTGTGATGGGTCCTATTCTCGTCATGGAAAACTTCCAAAACCACTTCCCCACGTTCATGGGATCCACGATCCAGGGTTGGTTGGTATCGGCCCTCGAGCTTGGCGCCTGGGCTGGTGCTTTGATCAACGGTGTTCTTGCAGATCGTATTTCGCGCAAGTATGCCATGATGGTTGCCGTCGTCATCTTCACCTTGGGTACTGGTCTTCAGGCCGGTGCACAGACCCCTGCGTACTTTTTCGCTGGCAGAATCATCGGTGGTGTTGGCATCGGTATGTTTAGTATGGTTATCCCACTATACCAAGCTGAGATTGCCCCCCCCTGAGCTACGTGGATCCCTTGTTTCCCTACAGCAACTTTCTATCACTATCGGTACGGCTATTTCTTTCTGGCTGGACTATGGTATGCAGTTCGTCGGAGGCAATACCTGTAACCCGGAGGGTATCTCGGACCCCTACCTAAGTAGTGGTGTATACAATGCCGCACAGAACAACGGCCACACCTGCTTGGGCCAGAAGACTATCTCGTGGAGACTTCCTTTAGCTTTACAGATTATCCCGGCTTGGATTCTGTTCTTCGGTCTCTTCTTCTTCCCCTTCTCGCCACGTTGGTTGATGATGAAGCACCGCGATGAGGAGGCTAAGGAGTCCATCTCTAAGCTACGTCGCCTGCCTGTGACTGATCCACTTGTTCGTGCGGAGTACCTTGAGATCAAGGCTGCTGTAATGTTCGATGAGGAGACGGAGAGCGAGGTTGTTGGATCTGGGGGTATATTGGCTCCTTGGAAAGCTTTGTTTGCCCCCAACATGTTCAAGCGCCTGGTGCTAGGTTGCGGTATGATGATTTTCCAGCAGTTCACTGGTATCAACGCGGTGCTCTACTATGCGCCCCAGATTTTCTCTTCGGTAAGTGATTCTTTCTTTCTCAAATACCCCTTTGACGTTTCTTCGCAAAATGGGTTCTAACTCGTTTTCATTTTCTCAGTTCGGTTTCTCCTCCACGAAGACAACCCTTCTCGCCACTGGTGTCACTGGTATCCTGCAGATTATCTTCACCCTACCTA